CTATAGCCTAGCTCTCTTCCTCTATCAACATCGCCACAAATTTATCTAAGTAGTTCAAAATTTCACCATGGTCTAGTTGTTTTTACCAATTGGGGAGAGCGGGTTTGCGCAAGGTCGTCCAGCTCTGCATGGGGGAAGAAACTTTGTTCTAGGGAACGTACTCAGAATGCAATTAGCTGATGGTCTCAGAACTAAGCAGATAGGATTCGCCCCTCAATAAAGGTGGTATCAAAACAAGATTAAACAGCGTAGCTCGTTGACTTCATAACAATATTAGCCCTGATGATATTATCCAGCCCCAGGTCATTCTCGGATATTACTTCCTCAGCATAAGAGGAACCAATATAGAGATCTCAGGGTCAAAATCAAAACAGAGATCCCAGAAAAGACTCATCGAACTAACCCTCTTCAGAGTTAAGTTAGATGTTGCCATCGTGTCCTGGATTGAGCATCCAAACTTCTAATATTGACGTCTCATAGAACGTGTAGAAATTCAGAGACCGGAACGGCCAAGGCATCGAATACCATACATTGAGTAAAGTCAGCTAGTTCTCGTGTTGGCTCAGGTTGTAGCGTGCAAGAATGAATACCAATCTCAGCAACACGGTGGCCGATATCATCCTCTTAACATGATATTTTAGGTATGTGCCGGTCCAATTTGAACCCCTAGGCCATCACTAGACCAGGCATTCTGAATGGTAGATGTGTTGGAAGCATTAACCTCGTAAGCAGGGATTTCGCCGACTGCATTGCTACTGCTACCAACACCATTCTGAGTAGACCCGTGTCTTGGGATAATGCCAGGACTCGGTACAGCATGATGGACCATATAGCTGGCACCGGTGACATTGCCCTGGTTTAGGAAGAAGCTCTGATTCCGTGATCCGCAGGTTGTGCAGGTGAATTCAATCTTGAAATTGGTAAGAACCATCTGGGGGACGGCATCATGATCACTGCGCTCAGGGTAGTCTTTCGGACGCCCAGCCATTCCTACTGGTAAAGAGGCAGCAGTCTGGAATTGTACCCCTGATTGTATAGTCATTGGATGTGGGCTGTGATTAAAAGAGGGTTGGTTTGATGTGGGAATATGTACGTGTGGCACCTGGGGTGGAGATGGCAGGGCTTGGGAACTAGATGGTGGAGCAAGTACGTGGTTTTGGGGGGTCTCGGTTGGGGACACGTTATCATCATCGATTGATGATGATGGGATATGCTCGGAAAGCCAGTGATTCTCAGATATATCTCCATATGCGTGTACCCCTTCCCCTTGCGACTCGGGGGATTGCTCAGGCGACTGTCGTTCCTCCGTACTCATCTTGACATCCAGCTCATGTTCATCATGGCCCTCAGCATGTCGTGGTTGAAGTTTGGTAAGCGCTCGCTGTGCCTGGCGCAGAGATATGTCATACCCATGGTAGCGTTTTACAGCATCCACGACATCCTGGGCTCGTATTTTCGACTTCATATCGAAAAGCTTTGGGATCTCACTCAGCAGAAATCGCACATGAGAAGCTTCAGAACGAGCTGGCGTGTCCTCAGGGGAATTTTCACTCCGACGGCAACTATGGCTGTCTTGAAGACTGGTGATGTAGGTCGCATTTTTGTTTGAGCGACAGACCACACGAAAGAAGCAATTTGCCGATGATCGACATCCGATAACCACGCTCTTCTTGTTGCTACGGACCACACGAAGCTCCCAGTGTTGTCTCACTGATATGCTCCGTACCACTGTTTTGAACTCTTCTAGAGAGCAAAACCGCTGGCCCACATGGAGGCCGGAGTACATCTCCGTCATAGCGATGAACCTGGGGCAAGTACAGAGGACACAAAGAAATCAGTAGCTAGGAAAGCAGTCACAGATTCTTGCGCGACAAAGTTCATCGGGTCTCTGGTTGTGGCTTCACCAGGTCGTGCTTGCAAACAGCTTGGGATTGCGGAGTACCGCGAGCGATTCTGGGTAGGTTTGAGTTGGTCTCTAGCCAAAAAGCCTCGGGGGCTATGAGCAATATGTAAAAGAAAGTCGATTACTCCTGTTAGGCAGCACAACTGGTTGAATAATGGCCATTAACTGGAGTCAATAAGGTTAAGGCGGAGTTTAAGTGCCAGACCGCTCGGCTTCACTTTTCATATCCCTCCCCGCTTCGATCAGCTTGAAGCCGTGCACCCTTTCAATACATATATCTTGCTTTATTAAACTTTGAGATCGAATTTCATAATCAGATACACAAAATGGCTTCATACGGGCTGCTAGGCCAGCCAGAAGAAGGTCGAGTCCACTCCAGCTCTGTCCTCCCAAGTCAACGTTAACGGCCCAGCTTTTACAGATGCGCTCCACAAATCGCGTCTCCTCAACGTCGAAGAAAAGCCATTCAAGCGAATCTCAAAACGACTATTGAACCCCGAATCCCTCATTGTCTCGCGATCCACGCTCCCTCTCACCCCTCCTCCCGAAGAGACCGACGCCGATTCCGATGCGACCGCAACAGAAGCTGAGAAACAGAAAAGACTAGAAGAATGGCACCACTTTCGCGAGGATGTCGCACTCGACTTTGCCACCTTTGAGGGCAGCATTGCGCGTGTGCAGTTTCTTCTTACCAGCAACGAGCAAGAACGACAGCGATATGCTACCGAGCGAGTTCAGATTCTGTCGACAATGCAGTCTGTACGAGAAAGCACGGCCGATCTACGAACTCAGCTTGAAGAGGCACAGCGACTTCTCTCCTTGCGAAAGACCTATGACGAATTGACGGACAAAATCACGAGCAACCGCCTACTCAAGCCGCGCGAAGACCAGTCAGCGAACCTTCAGAAATTGCGACTGGAGATTGCAGATCTCGAGAAGGAAAGCAAGGATTACGCCATGACCTGGGCTGAGCGCCGTGAGCAGTTCGGTCGTATTGTAGACGAGGGGATGCAACTCCGTCGCCTGATCCGCGATGAGAAAGAGGAAGTCGAGCGCCGGGAAGGCATGCAGGAGGGCGAAGACGGCGACGATGGAGATGTCACATCCAAGGGCAAGGCTAGCAGTGGAAACACACCTCCTGGTCCTGAAAACGATGCCATGACCCCCTCTCAACACGGCCAAGACGATGCCGGTCGGCCATCTGGTCTGCAGGTTCAGAAGCCCGGGGCTGCCGGTGCTGCGTCACCTTTGCGGCAAGTCACAACTGCCCAGAGCGATGGGGCACGGGAGGATACCAATATGCTTGATGAAGGTGAAATTTCTGCGGTTAGTGATGGCGAATTATCCGAGCTCGAGGAAGGAGAGGAACTCCCCGACGATTTCAGCGGGAAGATGGATACTACCTGAAGATGCATTTCGGCATGTACATTACTAGCACTAGCAAGGAGTTCTGGTTTTTGGTCTGGCGTTGGGCATGGCTTCAATTTATTGAATGATACTATGGAATCTTTCACCTTATGGGTAATTTTTTTTTGCTTTGATGTAATTGACATATCTTTCACGAAATCACGCGCTGTGCGGTCTTAGCTTGAGCAATGGCTTCTTTGGCAGCGGTGATTTGCTCAACGTTGCTGTCCGATCCCTTTTTGCCCTCCTCGATCTATCAAAATTGGTTAATAGAATCCAAGAATACAGATAGGTGGTACTCACAATCAAAGCTTCCAGGTTCGCAACGGTCTGCACAATCTTCTCCTTCAATGTGGGCAGGACCTTCTTGGTCTCTTCAAGAGACATGTGCTATCGTTCATGTCAGCATTAGAGGCAAGATGATATGGTGGAAGCAAAGCTCATGTACAAGGCACATACCTCTTGTTTCAGGGTATACTCGCGGTTCTCGTCGCCACCAGTGGTATCAGCCTCCAGCTTCTTGATACGTTCAGCCTGCTGCTGAAGCTCCTTGTGATAAGAAGCTTCCTCCTTGACCAAGCGGGTCACGGAGGAAGTGGTGATCTCGAGCTGCGAACGGGGTGCCATTGTGATTATCTGTGTGAAGGGTCAGACGTATCCGAGGTTTTGAGTCCAGGCCTTGTATGATATTGCCGAAAGAGGCGCCATATGACGAGAAGGGTATGTTCTAATCGACGCTATTGGAATGCTCGAATGATAGCAGTACGACTAGCGTTGCTGGTACCATTGTTCGAGGCACTGTGTATATAGGCGAGCATCACGGCAGAAAGAGATACTGTAATAGACGTACCTGTGAGTCGTATCTGAAGCAGAATTTAGTGATATGGTGAGCTGATTTTCGATTTCTCAAAGTTCTTTGAAATGCCCCTCGATGATGCTATCAAGATGATGATTGCATTGTTTGCTACATCACGTGCTTACAACGACAAGTTCCGAAGACAATGGATCCGAGACACTACAGAATGAATGCAAGAAGCCGCTGGAATATAAAAAGCTGCTTCGAAAGGGAAAAGAGCTTATGGTCGGCATTTCAGCGACCTCCCAATAATTTGTGAATCTGGAGATGTCGTATAAATGGATAAATGAAGGTTTCGTCTGTACTATAAACTAGAGCATCTGACATTACTTCCAGGGTTGCTACGGAGTATATGTGTGCCGATTGCATAATCCTAGGGGCAACAAGGTTGATTTTGAGATTCACAAGAGATAGCGTCGTCGTTGTGGTTGATTCACGAGTAACGACAAAATGAAGCCTGAATTCCTCAAGTAGGTATCTTGATGATGCAGACCATCAATTCTCACTTGAGCAGACAGCAGATCTTACGAATATTCAATCAGTAGAGTCCGTAGCTGTGGCTAGGAAACATTAGAACAAAGAATATCAAATGAAGCAACGAATCGACGCAGCCAATCAGCGTCGACCGCGTGATCATCCTTTTATTTAAAGCCGAGACTCCTATCATCGACAACCACGAGAATCGCGTCGCATCTGGCATCTTTTGGTCTGTCCTTTATTCTTTTGAATGCGACTGCGCCTCGTATACTCTGTTATATCTAGTACTTGCTTTCACCTCATGTCGCATATCTTATGGTACCCAATTCGGCTTGGACCATTGCCGTCATAAGCAAAATGCCAGCCCCATCACTGCTTCACCTGGCTACAGCCACGGCTATCCGCTTCATCAAGGGTATAGATGAAACGAGCTCTCTCATTTTGCAAGACTCCGGACTAACTGTGTGATCTTCAGACCTGGATAATCTGGGGGCCATGCCATACTCACTCGCCCGTCCTATTTTGCTTAATATCCATAACCCCGAAAAGCTGGTACGTCTACTAGACCTCACTGTCTAACTATTCTTTCACCCGCGCTTCATTTTCAGTTTCAAGTTCATTTTCTAATATCATTCTTTCTAAATCTGTAGCATGTTATGGAGCTCGCATCCCCCCACCTCGCCGAAGAAGACGAAGAACTGTGGCTTGAGCTCATTAAACGGGACATTCCTGAGTGGGAAACGTACCACCTCCCGGATAGTACCAACAACTGGTATGGGGTTTACTGTGATCTCCGCGACCAAGTCCAACGTTCTCTTGATGCCGATGCGGAGAGAATGAAGATGGCGATTGACGGCATCAGTGCAAAGCGTGCACTCCTCACCCCCAAACTCATACCCGAGAGCAAGGGCTTGCGCATGGCCGGATCCCGACCGTCTGTGCGACAGCGTCATGCTCCATATGATCGCAGGATAGGCGGTGGTGTTGAAAAGAAGCCTAGTATCTTCCAGCCGCAGAAACGCAACACCGCGCTGACGATGCCTACGAAGTCCCTCAACAACCGTGCGTCGCAAGTTAAGCGTGCACCGATCGGTCTGGTCGAAGAACACCGCCGCCCCGCCGAGCAGCCGGCACCACAGCCGATATCAAAGGCGCAACCTCTTCCCCCACGAATCAGCCGGCGGCCCGGCATGCTTCCACCCTCACTTCAGCACCCCATGCTAGGCAAGAATGAGGCGCGACTACGCGCACTGACTTCCACCGCCTCCACCGCCTCACCCCGTGGTGCATCCAATAGCGATTCGTCTAGCGTAAAGAAGTCACCAGCTGTGGCCACTGAGCCCATGCCTAAGCTGAAGCGCCGTCCGACCTCCCCCACTCGTGGTGCCGAGACACCCTCTTCTTCTTCTTCATCTCTTCCCGCCTCTCACACCTCTTCTCTCCCCTCCTCCCGCCCACCTTCCTCCGGGCCTCCTCTTTCCCGCCCGGGCGTTATTCGTCGGCGCCCGGCGCCGAGCATTTTCATGCCGGCAAAGCGACGACATTTATCGTGATCTTTGGATTACTTTGATTCATATGCTCATATGTTCTCCGAAAGGAGGCCCTCTACGTATATGCCTATGTGGGACATAGGTAGTTTAGGCTCGTTCTGATACCCGGGGTGGGATGCACCCCACTTGCGATTCACTTGGTGGTAGTTTTTTATAAAAGGTATTAACTAAAATTACATTTTTATTCACAACTCCGGCTCTGTATATAAGGTTGATATGGGTCTGCTTTTCCAATGCTACAAGCTATATCCCTCTCTTCAACAATGCGAATGACTTGGGCGTACAAAAGACTGGAAATCCTTCAACTTTCTCAAGTTTAGCTATTTCGGAGAGTGCAACCAAGGCTGCTGGTCGCACCTATTGTGTTCAGAACTCAGTCAGCTAGGCTATTTTACAACATCCTTCAGGGCTTCATTCCAAAACATAGTAAGCGGTACTGATGTCTTTATCCCGCCGCATAGCGCAAATATACTGAAGTAGATCTACAAAGCCCGGAAGTAGAGTCAAGATGGGTATACAAAACCAAGCCAGTCCATGAAAGGAGCTTAGGTCCTTGAGGGAAAAAAAGAGGACACTAATAAATGAAAATCATTCAACCCAGAACACCCAGTATGCAACTACCTTTCCATTTAAGCTCAAATTCCATTGCTCCACCGCGGTCCCTGCAGTTCGAATCCTCGCAAAATGGGATGCGGGATGGAAAAGCACTAGTTCCTCAACTGATTAACATTGCTGCAGAAATGTGGTATCTAAAAATGACAAAAAGATGTTACATCAACATCGCAGCGCATCCTCCACGCAGAGCGAGCACGAGGTGGAGCGTGGCGCCACCTTCGAGGTTATATTCTGAGGCTGTCTTGTCGTCCGCCCTATTAATGAAAAGTTGTCAGCTTGGGTTTGTTTGAGTAGGGGGAAATAACTGAGTGAGTAGTTTCTTACATCTGCTTGCCGCCGAAGATAAGTCGTTGCTGGACCGGAGGAATTCCCTCCTTCTCCTCAACACGCTCCTTTATCCGGGAGACCTGAATAGAACCGTCCGTATCAGTATAGGCGCATTCAGAGGGCGTTGATGCAGCGGGGCTTGTGGGTGTTGTTTCAGTAGAACGCTAGAGTGGTTCCGTGCGGGGAGGAGCCGGAAATGCATCAAGGCGGGTGGTTTACCTTGTAGTCAGGCTCGATATCGAGCTCGATCTCCTTGCCAGTGAGAGTTCGGACCCTGTTTGGACGCGAAATGTCAGCATGCAAGTTTAGGGGTGAGTGGCCTTTCGCATTTTGGGGTCATTCGATGATGCAATAGTATGGACATGCTGGAGCTGAGAAACGCACTTGATCAACATATTGAAGCGTCGGTGCCTTTTTTCGGTGGTTTGGATAGTAGTAATGGAGCAAGGTATATGTCGGCTGCAATGTAGTTGGAGGTACAGCTCTTGTCAATGAGTGTTTGGAGAGGAGATGTGAGCCCGGCGGGGTTTTGGTGGGGGCCTGTGGCCTTATTGCCTGATTGCGTCGGAGCCTCACTTTGGCTTGCGACAATGTAACTATGTAGTTATATGATTTGATGTAGAGAACATAATTGGGATATTTTGAGAACGATGAGATATCTTACTATGTTTCTTTCTTAATTCTAGCACCGTTTTCGAAGATGAGTTGAGCTTCAGAGTTCAGAAATATATATATACCCCTTGATAGCCAGAAAGTCGATATTTCCACTTCTCATGTGCATGCAGTTTTACCCCAACTACCCCGCTGAAACAGGCTAGAATCACGATTCACCAGTCAACCGGAGTCCAACCTCAAAAAATGGCCAATGAACCCGGGCAAATTGCGAAAGCGGAGAATCAATTCCAGCAATTGATCACTGTTTCTGAGAATGACCCGGTAAGCTTGAATCTTTAATTGTCAACAGCCAAATGCTGAGAGTCCCACCCAGAAACGATTGCAACTTGCCTATGAGGTCCATAGAAGCAAGAGAAATGCCCTTTTCAGAAGCCAAATTTGCCAGAAAGGATTCTGTGAATGGAACGAGGATGATATCCTGTCCAAAGTGCTCGAGGCAGAGAAGGGGTTGACAGACTACGTTGACCCGAGACACAACCTTGCCTTTTGGGCACGCCCGCCACAGCATATCCGGGATTTGGTCTACAAGATCCAGCAGGAGATTGGTACCTTGATTGGACCTGGTGTGTGCGATGCATGACCCATGGAAAATACAAAGAGACTGTTCTAACTGTGATTCTACAACACAGGTCTCTGGCTTGTACCCCCGCATCATCTGCACATGACCACGCTCGAGATCAGGTCTGCACTCAGAGGACCTGAAATTGATGAGATTACTTCTTCTCTCAAGATGAGCGGGGTCGTAGCAGAGCTGGCAAACTACACTCTCACCCACCGTGCCCGGTTGGTCAAGCCAGTAATCAGCTACGACACTTCTGCTATTGCTTTGAGCTTTGTTCCCGCGGCTGGCGAGGAAGATACCAGTGATTATAATGGGAAACATGATCAATTCACATATCACCATCTGCGAAGTGATCTTTACAACATCGTGACTGAATCTGGTTGTCCAATCGCGGCTAGATATACCGTACCTTCTGCGCATATCACTATTGCGCGCTTTATTGCGCCTGGTGGCCCCAAAGAAATAAAGCCGGATTCCCCAGAAGAATTTGAGAAGAAAAAGTTCCAACTTATTGATAGGATCGAGGATCTCAATCATGAACTCCGCTCAAATATGTGGAGGAGATTGGGGGACCCGTCTCAACGGCAATGGGTGATAGGTCATGAGAAGGGGTTGGAATTGATTAAAGGCAGAACTTGGTATGGAGTAGGGGATAGTATTGTACTTGGAGAAGGGTTTGTATAGCAGAATACAAGATGTGTGCTGAGAATCAACTCCAAACTCCAAAACACGTTTGAGATCAGTGAGATCAGTAAAGCCTCAGGCATCAACATTATGAATGACTCAGCATACTCTTCTTGGCGACTCCTAAAAGGGTTAGCGCCTACCCGATAGGGCCTAAGCGAGTGAAATCCCACAACCCAACAATCGCACTTGCTCTCCTCCGACAAGCGACAATCCAACGACCACCACCCAGCTATCCGGCCAAGTCAGTCAAAATGGTAAGGATACACCCTACGAGATATGTCAAGTGTTCCGCAAGCCCCGGCCATTCGAAGTTGCTCGAGTCGTGGAGAGAATGTGTGATGTCTACTGTGCGGCCAACCTCGAAATCGTCAATTCCTTCGCCGACCGTCGTGAATCACCACATTATGAACTACCCAACCGTCTGTTTTTCACCGGATTCACTGCAGGATGCAATGTAAAAGTTGACATCGAAGAGGAAATTGGCGGCGAAACCTGCAAGAACAACACTGGGTGATGAAATTCAGGACTCAAGAAGCAGATCACAATGGGTGCACCCCGCCATCCTTTATTCAACCGCACTTTCTACTCCTTGAAAACTACAAACCGGACAACACGACCTATCTCTTTGCGACCGCACTAATTTCGAATCGGACTTCGGGGCACGAATCACATTGACATTGATCTTATTCGCACAATCAGACCAGAAAGACAAAAGCTCATGACATCTCTCCGCACAGGTCAACATTCCCAAAACCCGCCGGACGTACTGCAAGTCCAAGGAGTGCCACAAGCACCAACAGCACAAGGTCACCCAGTACAAGGCTGGCAAGGTTAGTGCCCTCGACGCCGGAATGGTAGTCGTGAGCTATTGCTGATGATGTCATCCTTTGTGATTTAGGCCTCCCTCTTCGCCCAGGGTAAGCGCCGTTACGACCGGAAGCAGAGTGGTTACGGTGGTCAGACCAAGCCCGTCTTCCACAAGAAGGCCAAGACCACCAAGAAGGTCGTCCTGCGTCTCGAGTGTACTGCTTGCAAGGCCAAGAAGCAACTCGCCCTGAAGCGCTGCAAGCACTTCGAGTTGGGGTATGTTACATCTACATATTGCTTGACTGTTTCGCTATACAGTGCTGACATACCTTTTTCTTTTACAGTGGTGACAAGAAGACCAAGGGTGCTGCCCTTGTTTTCTAGATTGTTCAGTTTCCTTGTTCGGCTTCTGGGTTTTCTGCATTGCACAAAGTGCTTCGCTGTTTTTGCGGAGCATATATGACATTGGCAATGGAAAAATGAAATAGGAATTTAACTATTCAAAATCACCATCTATGACTACCGGATTATGAGTTGTTGAATAATTATTCTTGCTTCACAGTAGAGCTGCTAGTACCCTCATCAGCGTTGATATACTGCATCTCCCACGCGTTGCTGTTCATTGTGCTCTTAGATGTTCACTCAAATATTCCCCATGTAGAGTTCTCGGCGTGGGTTACAAAGTATATCCCCCCAATTCTTGCCAAGACTCCCTTTATGGGTCCACTCTTACGCGTGGAGTGTCTCGTGAGACTTATCAAAGTCCCATGCCTCGCTTCATTTACCCCCGAGTTTTCTAGTTAGCTTACTGACGGTTTGTCAAAGAGATATTCGGAAACCACTAGTCACTGATGGACTACACTCTGCACAATCATCGGGGTCTCCCCGAACACTTGATAAGGCCCTCCTGAGCGACATAAGATATTTTGTCATCCTGAACAACATACTTCAGTCCACGTATATTCCCAAAAGAAGCAAAATATACCATCCGAGCTTAGCAGAATCAAGTCGAGAAAACACCGAAGGGCGAGACTCCAGGGGGTTGCCAAGAACCCGGTTCTCAAGAACTGCCCATTTCATACGGACCGGGAATCTTTATACCGAAACTGAAAGAATGTGATATGAAGACGCAGATCTTCGCCGAGGACACCAACCCTGTATTCTGGGGGACCAAACGAGAGCCTCGAACCAGCCATCTTCCAATCTTGCGAGACTCAACGGCTCAAAACATGCAAATGGCCCTGATAAATTCTTTGTAGTGGAGACCCTTCGTATCCACGGCCTACCCCAGTTTCCCCGCTTCCCCAGAAATTGTTTTCCTCGGCCCTCC